GCAGGGAGGGGGCAGGACAGCCCTGAGAGCGGGACCCAGGGCAGGGAGGGGGAAGGACAGCCCTGAGAGCGGGACCCAGGGCAGGGAGGGGGCAGGACAGCCCTGAGAGCGGGACCCAGGGCAGGGAGGGGGAAGGACAGCCCTGAGAGCGGGACCCAGGGCAGGGAGGGGGCAGGACAGCCCTGAGAGCGGGACCCAGGGCAGGGAGGGGGAAGGACAGCCCTGAGAGCGGGACCCAGGGCAGGGAGGGGGCAGGACAGCCCTGAGAGCCAGGCGTTTTTTTTTTTGTTTTTTTTTTTTTTCATTTGCCAGAGGGGCCTATGCAGTAACCAGAAAGAGAGACAGAGAGAGCACAACCCCTTTTCCTCCATCGCTCTCCCTCTCCATGATGTGGGGATGCAGCACACCATGCAGCCGCTGGTCCGGGACTCAGCCTTCACAGTGAGCCATGGGGCATCTAGCCGCCCCAGCCACCATACCATGGGCTGGCCCGAGACCCAGGTTTTAACTATGAAAGTTACCACTGGGAGGTACAGGACTCAGTACTTCAGGAACACGGAGGGGGTTCTAGAACTATAATGCTCGAGCAGACTCTGTAACCCTCCTGACTTAGATGGTCAGAGTGAGGCTCCTATGTGGGATGGGGCAGGAGTGGAGCAGGCAAGTGCTTAGCAGGCTTGGATCAACGGCTTATTTTCTCACTTTCTCTCCCTCTCTCCCCTCTCTGATGGACACACATGCCCTGTAGCAAATAAAAAATAGTAATAATAATGAATTAATAATTAAATAAATAGTTCTTAACCAAAAAAAGTATCTGTGAACTCTAAATGCAGAAAAATCTTTTTAACTTAGGGAAAAGGCATCAATCCCCATGGAGACCAAAGTGTGAGCGGCCAGGCCCTATGCCTCGATCACCCAGGAAGGGACCCCGGGGCCACACCTGGATGTGAGCCATCTCGCCTTGCAGCCTGACGCGGGCCTCCTGCGCCAGGGCGAGCTGCTGCTGGTACCACTGCCGGACACTCTGCAGAGACGCAATCTCCGCCTGGGACGCCTTCAGCCTGCCGGTCAGTGCGGTGCGCTCCAGTTGCACCTGCTGTAGCTGGCTCTGCAGGGCTGCCATCTGCTGCCGAAGGCCGTGCACTGAAGGCGAGAGGCACAGTCAGCTTGGGCCCTGCACAGGCAGGACCCCACAGTCTGTGTGGACACAGGACACAGACAGCAAGACACACGGTGCACCCTCCCTGATCGCTCCCCGAAGCTGGGCCTGTGAAGACCCTGTGAGCACTGCCTTCGTGGACGCAGTCTCCACTCCTGGGAATCAGGGCAAGGGGTCTGCGAGCCTCTGGCCACATTCCCATCGGCCCTCGATGCATAACCTGCTTTGTGCACGTTGTTATCAACACCAAATTTCATGCATGTTTTGATTTGGGACCATGGAGCTCTGGGCCCACAGCACCGTTCTGCAGCCACCACGCCAGAGCAAACCTCTGCCCCACCCCTCTTCTCCAGGAGGTGCAGCAGAGGGTCCTTGTGCTTCACACCAGTGTCTGCGCCACTTTAGGTAGAAAAATCACCCAGGAAAGCACCAACAATGTGAACACGGCAAGAAACAGCCACGAGGCCGCTCGCTCCTGCGAGCTGCAGTAAGAAGGCAAGCACCTCTGTGCTGCCTCACGGAGACGGGCATGTCAGGGAGCTCAGAGGGTCTTCTCTGCACACGTCTGTGAAAGACAGGAAGTACCGTGAAGACCGGCTCTGGGCTTGAGGGTAAATGTGAGCAAACTCAGCGGCAGAATCTGTGACACAGAGGGCGGGCGTGCCCGCCGATACTTCTGTGGGCATAGTTGCCACCCTGGCCCACCAGCCAGAGGAGCTTGGCCACAGGAGTCCAGCAACCTTGTGCAGACTCCCAGGTGAACGTGAGGTCAACTTCTAACGTCCACAGAGTAGGACAGAGGTAGGGCAAGGAGGGGAGACAGGAAGCCACAGACAACCAAACGGCAGAGCGAGTACAACTGGGGCTGGCTCCATGCCCGTAAAGGCAGCTAACCCCCACGCGGCTGACTAGGGAGTGGCCAGACCTGGGCGAGACCAGACGGTCTCTGTGGCCAGGCTGCAGGGCGGGCAGAAGTTCTAGCAAGTGCTCCATGCCCGTAAAGGCAGCTAACCCCCACGCGGCTGACTAGGGAGCGGCCAGACCTGGGCGAGCCTTTAGAGACGAGACGGTCTCTGTGCCCAGGCTGCAGGGCGGGCGGAAACTCCAGCAAGGCTCACCCTGCTGTCACCCTGCAGGCCGTGTGAGCGGAGGGAGGTCGAGTGTCAGCAGGGAAGGCCAGGGAGACTAGCTTACAAGTATGAGACGCAAGGTACTCCACCCCATGTCAGCACAAAAGCAGCACCCTGGGGAGGGACGTGGCGCTCCCTCGGAGAAAGCCAGTCCACCCGGTCCCTGCCTTCCACTTGCAGGCCTGTGCTTTTGTATTTTCTCAGCCCATTCATGCGCTTCCACTGGGGGTTCCACGTTCCTTTGCCTGGCAGGTCAGGGCAGTTGACTGTGCAGTTTGAGTCCTAGACCAAGTGGCTTAAGAAACACACAGACTGGGCTGGCAGGTGGCATGGTGGTTGAGGTGCTGGACTCACATGGCCGACTACGGTTCAAGTCCTGGGCCTGGCAGCTTTCCTTTCCACTCTCCCTCCCTCTCTACCTCTATCTCTCTCTCTCTCTCTCTCTCTCTCTCTGCCTCTCTCTGGTCAAATGGAAGAATAATAATAAAGTTAAATAATTAAAAAAAAAAAAAGGACCCGCACACAGACTGGTGCTGTATGTACTCAAAATCCCGACAAGATGGAGAAATGGAGAGGGACCTGCAGGGTGACCAGCCCTGTGCCTTCTCCCTGCCATCCCCAGTGATCACACACGCTCTCTAGGGAAGATAAACACAGAAAGAAACAATACTAGCCGACGTTTTAAAATGAAAATTACACCCCATATTTAAGGAATTATGTATCGAGGGCCAGAGCAGGTGGCATGGTGGTTAAGGGGCTGGATGTTCCCACGTGGCCGACCACAGTTTAAGTCCTGGACCTGGTTGGCTTGCTTTCTCTCACTTTCCTTCTCTGTGTATGTGTGTTTGTCTTTCTCTTTCTCTGGTTAAATTAAGATAAATGAATGAATAAATAAAATAAATAATCCTTTTAAAAAAAGAAAGAAAGAAACCATGTATCATCCTAAAAACACTTGCCAAAAAATTTTTCTTTAAATAATTATTTTGGGGCTGGAAGGTGGCATGGTGGTTAAGGGCACTGGACTCCCCCACATGTCCGTCCATGGCTCGAGTCCCAAACCTAGAGGCTTGCTTTCTCACTTTCCCTCTTTCTCTCCCTCTCCCTCTCTGGTCAAATTAAATAAATAAATAAAGTTAAGTGAAATAAATTTTTAAGAATTATTTTACTTAACTTTATTTATTTTCTTACATATTTTTAAAATTTGACCAGAGAAAGAGAGAGAGAGACAGAGAGAGAGATGGGACGTGAGGAAGCAAGCCACCAGGTCCGGGACTCGAACCATGGTTGACCACATGGGAGTCCAGTGCCCTTAGCCACACCACCTGCTGGTTTTGCCAAAAAGATGAATGGGATAGTTTCAGAGGGTCCACAACCCTTGATGGGAGATTCTGGAGGCCAGCTGTGTTCCGAGCTCACAGGGATGTGCCTTGGGAAGGTAAGGCAAGCACGCCAGTTGTCTGCAGCTGACGCAGGGGCACAGCACCTGCGTCCAGACGGCAAGGGGTCAGAGCTGAGCCCACGTCAAGGTCAGTCTGGGTTTGCTGCCCAGCAGCTGCTAGTCAGCACGACCCAGAGTAGCAGAGCTTTCCGGGCCTTAGACTGGGTACCGCGAAACGCTCTCAGAGGGTAACTACCACGACCTTACAGTCTCCTCCTTTGTTTCTTGGCAGCTCTTCTCTGATCAGTGTCACACAGAGCCTACCAAGGCAGGACGCCCCCTGCTCCTCCCTGCCATCATCACAGCCTCCTGTGGACTACCCTGCACTCCAGAGCGGCACCAAGGCCTGCCCGGGGCTCCAGGGGAACCCGTCCACACAGCCTGCCCAGGGCTCTAGGGGAACCTGTCCACACAGCCTGCCCGGGGCTCTGGGTGTGGGTCATCTGACATCCCTTAGGCTTTGTCCTGCTTCCTTCTCCTGCTCTGGGCGGGCAGGTTGGTGTCCATCGGTGCCCACAGGGCGCTGGACAATTGACCCTGGGACTGAGAAAGTGACACCTGGGGGAGCAGACAGTACGAGGACAGAGGCAGTCACGCTGCGGAGCCCCACACAGCCCGCCGTGCCTGACCAGCTGCCACGGCCCCCATGCTCCCCTATGGCTGAGCCCAATGTAAATCAAAACACTCGATCTAACACATCAGGGGATGGTTACTGACCGAGGACACAAGTGCTGTTGTTACAAGCTTTATAGAATCCACACATCTGGGACAGACAGGCAGCTCTACTCCTCACCGGACAGTAACCACGGATGCTCTCCTGGACACCCGGGCAGATGGTGCCAAGTCCCACGGGTTCAACGGGACTCACATGTCCGTCAGAAGAGCAGACGGCCACCGCCCATGTAAATGTGCACCCACCCCCACAGCCGCGAGACCCTGGCCCCTCAGGGATGGCACAGGCCTCACCTGTGCTGTCCTTGCTCAGAATGCTCTTCTGCATGTCCTCTACTTTAGCCACGAGTCTCCGGTACTGCTCCTCTGCTACCTGCAGGTCACTATTCGAAGATGCCAGGCTGGCGTTTTTGGCTTCGAGCATGTTCTGCAGGTCAGTCATGGCTTGCTCCAGATCCCAGCAAGACTGCTTCAGGGTGTCCACCTCCGAGCTGAGCGAGTCCTGCCTCTGCTGGCTGCTGCGGCTGAGCTCCACCTGTGCCTGCAGCCGTGTGCCCAGGGCAGCCAGCTGGGCTTGTAGCTCGGCCTTTTCCTTCAGTGCCTGCAAGACATCCAAACCACGATGACTGGGAAAACAAGCCACTTCCACCCAGTGCGCTGCAGGAGTGCTGAGACAAAACCCGGCACAGGACAGTGTCCAACAGGTGAAGCCCTGTGTTCTCAACTCACAGCCACTCTAGCATGGCAGTTACCCCACAGGAAGGTGTGTTTCTGGGACCAGCAGAGGGCGTAATGGTTCTATCACTGGACTCCCACGTAGTTGACTGGTTCGAGTCCCAGATCCAGAGGCTTAAAACTCATAGTGCACGTGTGCGTGGTGCCCTAAATTCCAAGAGAAGAATGGAGAAGGGACTGCAGCGTGGCCATCCCCGGGGGGCTGATTTCTCGCTTTCTGTCTCTCTCTCTCTGTCTCTGGCAAGCACACGTGCCCTATAGAAAATATCTCTCTAAAAAAAAGAAGACAACTTTCCTAGTAGGCCCAAGAGTCAGAAAGGAACAGGTGCATAGTCAGTGGGTCAGTGTGGGTTTCAGACCTAGCCACGACTACACAGGCAGCTCAAAATACTCAGCCACCCTCAAGGATGTTGAAAAACATACTGATTCAAGAAACGGAAAAGGATGTACGTGCACCTGCATGCACACAAAGAATACCAGATTTTTTGGGGGGTGGGGGAAGACGTTTTTGCTATAGGGCGCGTGCACTCACCAGAAAGAGACAGAGAGAAAGCGAGAAATCACCCCCCCAGGGGCGATGGCCACACCACAATCCCTTCTCCTCCATTCTCCTCTCAGGATCTTGGGCGCGCACACACACACACCCAGCATGAGTTTAAGCCACTGGGTCCAGGACTGGAACTGCAGTCGACCACATGGGAGTCCAGCGACATGGCCATTATGCTAACTGCAGTTCACAAGAATACCAGACATTTAAAGGGACCCCTAAGAGACAAAAGCGGTCAGATGCAGCACAGAGGAGATGGCAGAAAACACTTGCAGCTCAAGACTGCTGTGACAGGAGAGCCACCGCACACAGGACAGCCCTGTGTGGACACAGAACGCTATCCACAGGGCAGAGCAGAGGAGAGGCCCTGTGGCAGGGAGCAGCCCACAAGAACAAGCCCCAGCACACGCACTGGCTGTCCTTTAGCCCACTGCGTCCAGAGGCCTGTCCGGGGTTAGGTGCAGGAACAGAAAATCCACACATCACCATGCAGACAAGGCCTGCAATGGAGTCCAGTTCCCTGAGCAGATGCAGTGAGATTTATAGGAAGCACAGTTGACACTTCATGGAGATGAAAGACATGTCACATCCACACCCATCCTGGGTCCGATACAACCAACGCACACACTGGTGATCCCAGAGACAGGAGCACTCTGCGGAGTCAAAGGGAGCGGCGGTCCCAGCCTGTCTGTGGGACTGAGTGCACAGTTGAAACAGGCTGCACTTCATGTGACGGTCATCTTCTAAAGCCCTACACAAGCTGGGAACTGCATAAGACCTCCACAGCCATCAGTGTGTCCTGCCAGAAATGATTTCCATGGCGTCTGTGTCCGAGGCTGGCTTGGACAGGAGGTAGAGCGCACCTGAGGCTCCCCTGAGCAAGGTGCTCCTCTCGGCAGACCTGTAGTGCCCTGGCTGCCCCAGCCCTCGGGCTGCAGGTGCCTGTGTGTGCCTGCCCTCGTGCCCATGCCAGAATCACACCGTCGAGTGCCACTGAACTGCTTGTTCTAACTGCTGACAGAAACATAAAACTCTATGGGCTGGTCCTGTCCCCTTGTGGTTAAGAAAGCCAAATCCCACATGGTTGACAGCAGTTTGAATCTCAGCCCCAGAGACCTGAAAAACATACCGGGTATGTGTACATGCATGCACAGAGGCAGCAGGTGGCATAATGGTTAAGGTGCTGGACTCTCACATGGACAACTGTGGTTCAAGTCCTGGATTGGGGGCTTAAAATTCACACCAAATGTGTGTGCATGCATACCCAAAATCCCAAAGAAGAATGGAGAAGGGACTGCGACATGATCATCCTCCTTGGGGGGGTGACTTCTCACTTTCCCTCTCACTGTATCTGTCTCTCTAGTGAGTGCACACACTATTTAAAAAAAAAAAAAAAAAAGAAAGAAAGAAATCTAGTTATCTGCTGTCAGTAAATGTGCATTCAACAAAATGACAAAGGAAAGCTGAAAACTCAGAGGAAAAGATTTTCCAGGCCAATTCTAACTAGATGCAATGGAATTAGTAGAAAGAATGGAGCTCCCTGCAGAGAGGGTAGGACAGGGGCAGGTGTGAGAACTCTACCAGAAGAAGAATTTGTGTAGGGACTCAGGTAGCTAACATCCATGAAATACCCTGGACAAACCCTGACGGAGGGCCAGCTCCATTGTTAAGGCAGCTGGAATCCTACGTAGCCTACTGTGTAGCCCATGTCCCAAACCAGACAGCTTGGAAAGCCTGCCTGGTGTGCGTGTGTGCATGTCCACAACCCTGAAAGGAGAAATGGGGGCAGGGGGATTATGGCATGACCACATCCTATGGGGAGATGCTAGCTCCCTCTTCTTGTCTCTCCGGTGAGCACACATGCCCTCTGGCAAATTTCAAAACAAATGCCAGGCCAGCAGGTGGTGTGGTGGTTAAGGCACTGGATCCCACATGGCCGACTTCACGGTCTGAATCCCAGATCTGACGGCTTGAAACAGGCATGTGCACTTGTACACCCAAAACCCTGAGAAGGGAATGGAGGAGAAGAGACTGCAGCATGGCTATCCCTCCAGGGGATGATTTCTTACTTTCCCTCTCTCTCTCTCTCTATTTTTCTCTCTCTGGCAAGCACACATTCCCTAGGGTAAAGATCTAAAAAAATAACAAGGGACCAGCAGTTAGCGTAATGGCTACGTTGCTGTAGTCGACCGCAGTTCGAGTTCCGGACCCGGCAGCTTAAAACTCACGCTGGGCGTATGTGTGTGTGTGCCCAAGATCCTGAGAGGAGAATGGAGAAGGGATTGCGGCGTGGCCGTCCCCCCAGGCGGTGATTTCTCACTTTCTGTTCTTCTGTCTCTCTATCTGGCAAGCACATGCGCCTTATAGCAAAAAAAAAAAAAAAAAAAAAAAAAAACAAGGAACAAGTCCTGATGGAGATGTAAGCAGCCAACTTGGTCAGATAAGAGCAGTGAGCTCACGCCTCTCAGGCTGACAAATCAAATGAACTGCCAAGCCTTGGCTGACTGATGTGGCTCACTCTTAGAAACACTTGTAGGCGCGAGCACGTGGCGTGGTGGTTAGGGGCGCTAGACTCCCACATGGAGACCAGTTTGATTCTTGGACCTAGCGGCTTGCTTTCTCACTTTCTTTCTCTCTTTCTGCCTCTCTCTGGTGAATGCATGTGCACTATAGCAAGCAAAATAAAAATAAAAATAAAAATAATAATAATAATAAAAGTAAATACATAGTAATGTTTAAGAAAAAAAAAAAACACTTGTAAAACCCTAACCCGTAAAGGGGAATCACATTAAAATGTTAACTCGACACCCATTACCTGACTAGCCTCTAATGATAAAGCTTCCAGCTGTCCTTCAAGTCTCATTTTTTCTTTAAGAATCTGCAACATTTCATCCTGAGTCTCTGCAGTTGAGCTTCCCACGGACACGCTGGAAGGCAAAGGCATGGGTCAGTCTGGAACACGAGCGGCCAGGACTCACACCCCGATCCCACCCCCAACCTCAAACTCACCTACATTTTGAAAATAAAATTTAATTTATTATTAATTATTATTATTTTAAATTTACCTTAGGGCACATTTGCTCACCAGAAAGAGAGCGAGCAAGCAAGCCACCAGGTCTGGGACTTGAACCAGGGTCAGTGTGCTTTAACCACCATGCTACCTGCTGGCCCCAAAGTTGACCACCCTGGCTTAGGAGGCCAATGTCCCACCCATTAGGCCACTGGGTAATGGAAATGAACAGGAAGACTTGAGCAGAGAGCTGAGGCTTGCATGAATGTGGCCATGGGACACACATGCCAGCAATCAGGTACACGCAGTCGTCGCAGGGCTGAGCCGGCCAGGCGTCCTCGCCTTAAGAGACAGCTCTCTCTAACTACCGGGAGGCAGGGTGTTCCAGCACTGCACACGTTCCTGCAGGAGGACTGTGTGTAAATGGGTGTTAAAGTGAAGGTGGAGGCAGGAACCAGGGAAGAGTGCGTGGCCTGCTCAGGGCACACAGCAGCGGTCTGCAGGGCGGTGCCCGAGGCCGTGCCTTCCATCCTCCCACCTGCTGCAGACGCTGCCTCTCCGGCTCCGCACCTCTCCGTTGACCTCTGGCCCCTGGTCTTGGTGCTCAGCTGCAGCAGCCTGGAGCACATCCTTGATGGACGGGAACTGGCCCAGGGCCTCCGCAGCCATCTGCTGGCCATTGACCACATAGGAAGCTTCCTGTGAGCCCCCCGTGGCAGCAGGAACGCTGTGGGCCCCACGGGTGGAGATGCTGCTGTACGACGAGCTGTCACTCTCGTTCCCGTCGGCCTCAGACACGCTGTCTCCAGTCAGCGAAGCGTTCTCCAGACGGTCATCGGCCTCAGGAGACAGGCTGATCTCAGACACGACTGTGCCACTCCTGCTCTGCCTTAGGGCACCTGTGACCGGGTCAGTGGCCGGAACTTGTGCCCCAGAGTCCTCAGCTCTGTAATCAGCCAGAGACCGAATCTTGCTTGGTCCGGAACCTTTTCTCTCCTTAGGGTGAGCCAGGAGCCCTAAGCTGCCCACCTTAGGACCTCGAGGGACACTTGTGCGCAGGAAGGAATACTCTTTCGTAAGGGCCACGGCACTGGCCCTTGGTAAGCCTTCTGGATTGAACATGAGCTCAGGGTCAAGTGTGCTGAACAGTCTCATTTTTGTTGCAGGCTGAGTGGACTAAGAAGAAAAGAAAATACAAAAATTAAGCTTATAATTTATAAGCACATATATAGAGAGAGAAGAAGGAAAAGTGAGAAATCCCCTCTGGGAGGATGGGCAAGTTGCAATCCCTTCTCCTCCATCCTCCTGCTTTGGGGCACACATGCACACAGCTGGCGTGATCTCTAAGCTGCTGGGTCTGGGACTTGAACCACAGAGTTGGCCATGTGAGCTCCAATGCTTCAGCCTCCACACACCACCTATCTGCCTACAAGCAGCCATCTAAGAGCACACTCAGAAAGGCGGCCCCAGTTCTCATTCCTGGTATCCCAGGCTGCCCCTGTGCAGGGTGTAGCCAGGCTTCTGACCCTCAGCCATCTCAGCATCCAGGGCCACGCCCTCCTGACCGGCCCGACCACCCCTGGGCCCACAGCATAGCCTGTGATGAAGGCAGCCTGAAAACAAGCAGAGCAAGCCTCTTCTCAGTGCCCTTCCTTGACCATCTTTCCTGCTTATTCTCCTATGTTCATTTTTTTCAGAGAGATACAAAATATTCTCTTGTTTAAAAAAAATAGCCGCCAGAAACCAGTGGTGGTTAAGGCACTGGACACTCCCACATAGTCACCCACAGTTTGAGTCCCGAACCTGGTGGTTTGCTTTTTCACTTTCCCCCTCTTTCTCTGTCTTTGTCTCTCTCTGGTAAAATTAAAATAAATGAATAAATAAGCAAAATTAAATAATTCTTTTTTTTTTTTTAAGAAGTTTTTGCTACAGGGCGTTGAGTGCTCGCCTCAAAGACAAGAGACAGAGACAGAAAGCAAGAAATAACCCACTGGGGGGATGGCCACACCGCAATCCCTTCTCCTCCATTTTCCTCGGGATCTTGGGCACGCACACACACACATGCCCAGCGTGAGTTGAAGCCACGGGGTCCAGGACTCAAACCGTGGTCAACTACATGGGAGTCCAGCGACAAAGTGATTGCACGAACGTCTGGTCCCAAGATTAAATAAATCTTTAAAAAAAAATTAGTCCCAGGCAGATCCATGGCATGGTGACTGAAGTGGCTAGATCCCACAGACCCAACTGTGCAGTTTGACTCCCGTGGCTAGAGAAGCCTCTGCATGTGTGCGTGTGTGCCCTGAATCCTGACAGGTGCGAGAAGTGAAGAAGGGACTGGCAGGGACCACCCAGATATCAACGCAGACTGCGGTGGTAATGGTAAGACCCACTAGGATCAGAAAACAGCAGACAGGCGGGTGAAGCAGACGCAGCCCAGAAATAGGCCTGACAGATGCTGAACCACATGAGTCCGTGCCCCGACCTGTGGGGAAACAGACGACGCAATAAGCGACTCAGGGTAGCTGACCAGGGGCCAGCAGGCGGCGGAGCGATGACGTCGCCGGACTCCCACATGGCTAACCAGGGCTGGAGTCCCAGACCTAGTGGCTTGAAACTCACCCAGGGCACATGCATGTGTGTGCCCAACATCCTGGGCGGAGAGTGGAGAAGGGATTGCAGTGGAGCCATCTTCCCTGGGGGGTGATTTTTTACTTTCTCTGTTTCCATGTCCCTCTTTCTTTGGAAAGAACATGCACCCTAAGGCAAAAACCTCTACAAAAAAAAAAAAAGATACCTGACAGTGGGAACAGTAGGTGGTGTGGTGGTCAAGGCGCTGGACTCCCACACGGCTGACCGTGGCCTGAGTCCCAGACCTGGTGGCTTGCTCTCTCACTTTCCTTTTCTCTCTCTGTCTCTTTCTGGTGGATACATGTGCCCTATAACAAATTATATAATAATAAAAAGGATAAATAAAAGTAAATAATTCTGTAAAAAGAAGAGATAGCTGATCAGCCGGTCAGAGAGAAGCTATGCTCTCACCTCTCCTTCATCCAGTAACGTTTCAAATCAATTCGTTTTTGTTTTTGTTTGTTTTTTCTTTTTTTGAGATTTTTGCTATAGAGCACATGCACTCCCGGGAGACAGAGAGACAGAAAGTGAGAAATCACCACCCAAGGGCCATGGCCACACCGCAATCCTTTCTCCTCCATTCTCCTCTCAGGATCGTGGGCACACACGCACATGCGCCCAGTGTGAGATTTAAGCCACCTGGTCCAGGACTCGAACTGTGGTCGACTACATGGGAGTCCAGCAATATTGCCATTATGCCACCTGCTGGTCCCCTGATGGATTAGATGTAAATATTAAAAACAGGGCCAGCACGTACAGTGGTAGCTGGGACACTGGACTCCACGTGGCCAACCGTGGGTTCAAGTCCTGGACCTAGTGACTTGCTTTCTAACCCCTCCGCCCAATGACTACAACGAGTTAAAAAATGACAATAATAATAAATAAAATAAATATTTTTGAAAAATAAATATTAAAAACATAATCTTGGACCAGCAGGTGGAACAGTGGTAAAGGTGCTAGACCCCTACGTAAGCAACCGTGGCTCAAGTCCCAGATGCGGCTGCTCAAGACTCATGCCAAGCTTGCATGCCTATGTGCCCAAGGTCCCATGAGAATGGAGGACAGGAGATTGTGGTGTGGCCATCCCCCTGGGGGTGACTTCTCACTTTCTGTCTCTCTGGCGAGCACATGCGCCCTAATAGTAAAAATCTCTCTGAAAAAAAAAAAACAAAAAACAAAAAACATGACCTTCAAGTGTAAGAGGCCAGACGGGGGCAGAGTGAGTGGGGCGGCTGGGCCACTCGGCCACCTGCACAGCTCCGGTCCCACATGTGGCAGCTTGAAAACACAAAGGGCAAGTGTGCAAGATGCCAGGTCCTGAGAGGGTGACAGAGAAGGGACTGTGGTGTGGCCATCCCCCTGTGGATTAATCTCTCACTTCCCCCTCTGCCTAGCCTCTCTTTTTCCAACAGGAGGAAGCAGGACTGACAGCCATGAACCAGACTTGTGCTGGAACCCCCTCAGTGGCGGGAACCTCGGGAGGGCGCGGTCGGCAATCGCAAAGCCTCACTCGCCCGGCAGAGGAATGAGAGTGCCCAGGTCCCAGCGACTGCTGTGCACCGGCTGCTGAGGGCTCACCCTGTCCTGCTGCCGCTTCACCCGGTACTGTCTGAGCTGCTCCTCCAGCCTCTCCCGGGCTTGGAGTCGGACCTGCTCCTCCTTCTCCAGGGGCAACGAAGACTGGACGGAGCCTGTGGGGAGGAGAGGCCATTTAGGAACGCATAATAAAGTGCCAGGCAGGGCACAAAGAGCAGGTCAGGGGCAGCCTGTTGTTTGCACCCAATGACCAGTATGTTTTAGCTCCTCAACGACGTACTGTCGTTCAGTTTCAGAACCACATGTCCAGATGGGAAGAAAACCGTGAACCTCAGACACTGGGCACAGCCAACCCTCTGATCCAGCACTGGGTGTGTTCACGTGCGTGTGCTGCCCCCTAGGGGTACTCACAGGTAAAACAGGAGATGGCTAACTAGTGCCCTCTGATGACAAAGTAATGGATTTAAGTCGGTATCAGCGCTGAGTGTCCTGGGGCACAGGAACCCCCAACTCTCACTGAACTAGAACTCAGCTGATTTACAGAAAGCGCTCACAGCCTGGCTGTGAGGAGCATACAGAAAGCAGTCAGATGGAGTCACTCCGTTATGAGGTCACGTGACAACACACATTTATGCAGTCCTGTTTGGAGCTGTGATGTGATCCATAGCTGACTCCGATCAAGTCGCATTACGCCCAGCCCCATGTCACCAGGACCAGACTGAGGCAAGCAATGGTGCTCACAGGTCAGTACGTCTGACTCAGGGCTCCCTGCACAGAAGCTGGGCAGGCATCTCTGGGGACTGGGGACTGGCTACCTGAGTTTCCTGACACACGCGACTTCAGTCCAAGGGCCAAGCTACAGGACAAGAGGGGGAATGATGAATTTCTAGACAAAACCAGAATTTAAGATGTCTACAATCCAAACCTCTGATTTCAGGTACTTAGAGGGTGAATGGTGAGGGCAGAGCTGTTACATCTGCAAACCCAGGACCACCCGCTTTCCTAGCGGGGTCTGAAGCCTCAGACATGCCCGCAGGAGGCTGGACAGCCTGGACACTGACCAGCGGAGACGAACAGGCTCATCAGACCCACAATGCAGCTCTGTGGCTGGGGCCACAGGGAGGCCAAGCAGAATGGCCAGCCCAAGGCTGGCCTGGACAGCACAGGAGACAGCCTGCGAGCCAGAGGCGGGAGTACGTGCTCAGTCCCAGCTGGGGCCAGGCAGCCGGACGGTCTGCTAATGAGAACAAAACCCCCTTTCCATAAGCTGGTGTGTACGTAACTCTTTAGACAGGGCTTCTGAGGTAAGCAGCTGTTTTAAAGGATGACTCAGGTCTGAGCCGTCACCAGGGATTTCACAGGAACTCACCCTTTGTTGTTACTAATGTATGTATTTTTGGGTTTTATTTTTGTAAGCACAGGAAGACAGAGAAAGTGAGAAATCACCACCCTGGGGGATGGCCACACAGCAACCCCTTCTCCTCAGTCTCCTCTCAGGACTTTGGGCGTGTGCACCCACATGCACCCCACGTGACTTTCCAGCCACCTGGCCCAGGACTCAAACTGCCATCAGCCATGTGGGGTCTAATACCTTCAACACCACGCCACCTGCTGGCTCCCACTTTGTGCCTTTCATCACTGGAGATCTCTCTAGTACTTTTCACAAGGTGAGTGGTCAGAGAGCGAGACTATCTGAGTAGCACACTGAGGGGCCTGCGGCCAGCAGAGCGTCGGTGTCAGGGCAAACCCTGACACCTGGCGACAAGCGGCGCTAGACAGGGCCTCAGTCCGAAGCCGGTGAGCTGCTGCCCCCTCGTAGAAGGCACCATCTCCAGTGCTGTTGCAATGGGCACCTGGGCCAGGGCTCACAAATCCCTGTGACCAGGAAGCTGGACTCTCACACAACCTCTCCTGACTCAATGTTGGCAAGGCAGCAGGTGGTGTGGTGGTAAGGTGCCCGACTCCCATATGGCCGACTGCGCTTCGAGTTCCGGACCTAAAGGCTTGCTTTTTCTCTCTCTCTAGATCTGGTCAAACTGATGAATAAGAAGAAGAAATAAAATTAAATTAATAATTCACAAAAAATTATCTAATAAAAAATGTTGGCAAGGTCTATTATAATTTCAGACATGATGTGGCCCTAATAAAGTGCCACCTCTGAAGGAAAAGGTGAGCGACTCAAAAGAAATACGAGCCAGACAAATGAGCAGTTCATAGGAGAGAAGGCCCAGGTGGCCAATAGGCAGAGCCCAGAGACCAGCAGATGACGTAATGGTGGCTATGGCACTGGACTCCCCACATAGCTGACCGCGGTTCAAGTCCCAGAGCTGGCAGGTTAAAACACACCAGGAGGGACCAGCAGTTAGCTGGTTAGCGTAATGACTATGTCGCCGGACTTCCACGTAGTTGACCTCGGTTTGTGTCCCGGACCCGGTGGCTTAAATTCACGCCGGGCACGTGTGCGTGCGTGCCCAAGATCCCGAGAGGAGAATGGAGAAGGGATTGTGGCGTGGCCATCCCCCCTGGGGGGTGATTTCTTGCTTTCTATCTCTCTCTCTCTCTCTCTCTGTCTAGCGAGTGCACACGCCCTATAGCAAAAACCTCTAAAAAAAAAACAAACAAAAAAAACACCAGGCATGTGTGTGTGCATGTCCAAAATACCAATAGGAGTGAAGAAGGGGGCACAGCCTGGCCCTGGCCATCCCCCAGGGGTGATTTTTTGCTGTCTTTCTGGTGAGCGTATGCACCCTATAACAAAAAACATATATGTATCTCTATTAAAAAAAAAGATGGCCACACGCTACGTAACTGCGGTAATAGTGAGGCATCCTGTCACGCCCATCAGACAGTAAACGGGAGTCTGCATGCTGGAGGGCGGTGGGGACCCATATCTTCCCAGGTCCTTTGGTAGCGTGGCACCATGGCCATGTGGGAGGGCACTAAAAACCTGCCCTTGCTCATCTATCTTAGCCAAAACCGAGGCCACTGCGTGCTGCCATGATTGCATCTGTGTCCGAGGCCAGGCCCCTGCCCCACATGCCAGGCACCCTCATGTGGTCGTGGTACCACGTCAGCTGAGGAGGAGGACAAGCCAAAGGGCAATGGCTGTAAGAGTGAACCAAGAGCTGTCCCAGGTGGACAAGAGCAACCTCCCCGTGATAAAGCCACATGGGGACATGTCAACATGGGAGTAACACAACCACATCTCTTAAAAAACAATGCCCAAAACCCAGGAATGCTTGTGGAGGCCTGTAAAGGATTCACTGAGAACATGGCTTCCTTGAGGGCAGTAATGAGGGACTGAGGTGGGATGAGAGGGTACAACAGCCAGATGACAGTCCTCGTCACACACAACCACACAACGTGTTGTATGAGGCACTGCAGGATTAGAGGCTGCCAGGACTCACGGACCAGTGTTTGACTTGGTCACCTTTGAGTTCTCTATTTTGTTAGGGCTGCGAGTGTGACTGTCTCCAGTCTGACCTGCCTGCCTGCTGACCACCTGGGTGACAAAGGACATGCAAGTCGGCCCTTTGGCACTGCAGTGTCGGATACAGAGAAATTTCAACATCCAGGTGTTTCTCTTTCAAATAAAGCCCTCTCACTGAACGCACAACCCAAGACAAGATGGTGCATGGCAAAAGGACGTGACTGCTCAGATGTGGGCAGTCGGGCGTCTGCTCTGAGTAGCACTGGCACAGGAGGAGGGTGGGAGGAGCCGGCCGAAACAGATGCTTACACAGTTGTGTTTCTTGCATAGGAAGACTGCGTCTGAGAGACTGCAAAGCTTCTTTTCTAACACTGCCCTCAGCACTAGTTCCCTGAGACTTCCTTAGGTTGTCATGGAAACCAGCCACACCTGGAGAGGCATCAGGACCCACTGGGCTTGTGGCGGGGTCAAGAGACAACGGAGAGTCAGGGCACTGTGGTGCGGGCCCGTTCAGGCGGAGGACCCTCTGGTCAGGTCCCTCCAGGCTTTCTCCTTCACCGGCAGCTCTGTTCACCTCAACACTGGCACCTGGAACGAGAGAGCACGCTGAGCCACTGTGGTTCCCACAAGAGCAAGGTGCTTTTCAGACACACAGGTAAGCAGGAGGGAAGAGCCTCTGCGTGTGTCAGCATGAGCACGCCCACACCGTACGCGTCTGTCCTCTGCAGAGGGACGGCCACACGCTGCCTTCCCTGCCTAACAGCTTCACTGTACAGCCTCGTCCTCACACCGTGGCTGCAGAGCTTTGGCACAACTTCTTCCTCATTTAAATGAAACCAGTAAGGAATCTTAGGAAAGTCTATTATAAAATATCAAAAGAAAGCAAAAGCTTAAAAAGTGACTACCCACCCCCGTGACGTCAGCACCCTAACCCTCCGATCTACAAGAGACGGAGGCCGAGATGACTGAGGGGCACGCTACGGGGAATAGGCTCGGAGCCTGAGGCCTGGCCTCCGTGCTGCTGCCACCCGTCTGGCAGCAAGGCAGCACTAGTCAGCAAAGCCGGCATTTCCGGTGAACTAGAGTGCAGTTCCCGGCAGCAGACTGGTACACGCGTGCTCTCCAACGGGAGCACACACTGCATGGATACCTTGTGACCAGGAAGGGCCGTGGGAACCAGCCGAGTAATCCACTCTTCACTTTCAGGTATGCCCAGTCCAGCACCTGACATAAAACATGATTCAAGGGACCAGCAGCTGGCGGAGGGGTTACGTTGCTGGACTCCCACGTGGTCAGCCGCAGTTTGAGTCCCAGACCCGATGGCTTTAAAATCACAAGTGTACGCATGCGTGCCCAAGATCCCAGGAGGATAATGGAAGAGAGGGGAGTGCACTGTGGCCATCCCCCTGGGGGGTGATTTCTCTCTCTCTCTCTCTCTCTCTGGTGAGCACATGTGCCCTAAGGCAAAAATCTCTTTAAAAAATTGACTCAGGACCCGCAGGTGGCGTAGTGGGTAAGGGCACTGGACTCCCATGTGGCTGACTGTAACTTGAGGTTTGGACCTGGCAGCTTGCTTTCTCACTTTCTCTCTCTCTCCTCTCTCTCACTCTGTCCCTCTCTAGTCAAATTCGAATAAATAAATAAAGTTGAAATAATTCATTTAAAAAAAGTGATTCAGTTATCTTTACATCTCTAATAGACCATTTCGGAACTCCGGTTTTTAAGTTTTTCGTGGCCAGCCAGCTGGAAGGTAGGGTTTTAGGCAGGGAATAGTAATGTGTCCGCAACGACCCATAGAAGCCTTCAGAGGAAACGACACTGCAGCTGTCCCACTCAAGCACACACACCTGGGCAGCTCCCACCACACGAATGACGTGTAACCCGAAGTTGGCACCAACTGAGAAAACGCACTCCGAGTGCATGAAAAGGTCACGTGAGGTCCCGACAGCACTGTCTGCCTCCAAAACACAGGCTGGCCGCGTCCTCCTGGTCAACGGCAAGATGTGTGCCGCAGAGCAACTTACACTGTGCTTCGTCCTGTTGGTCAGGGGGCGCCAGGGAGCCCGGGGGGTCCGGGAGGGCCTCGGGGCAAGCTGAGGGGCCACCGCTGGACCTGCCCACCAAGAGGCCATCGTGCTCTGCCAACGCCCCATCCATGGTCCGGACAGCACAGGCTGAGCTGACACCGAGGGGCGACAAGTGCGCAGCGGGGTCGTCCGGGTTCCGCCATCAGCAACAGCCTAGAGGTCCTGGAAAGGACCCCACTCTACTTCCCATTTTCAGAAGACTGAAAGATGCACAAACAGCTTAGAGTCAAACCAACTGAGACGACACCTGCGAGAAGAGAAAGAAAAAAGGTATCATGAAACTTCACTGCAAGATTTCGAGTACAATTCCAAGTGGACGTTCGGCTCCCAGCTTAGACTTGTACAGGAGCAAATGCAACTCACTCACCTGACACCTAGTCACTGAGCACCCACAGCCCTGGGTGGCAAGGACCAAGGGCTGAGCTAGCGCCCTGGGCCCTGCGTGGAGGTGCTCAGGTGCACACGTGCGGCTGGATGGCACTCGGCCAGGGCCGATGCTGCAGTCCACACAAGTGGCGACTGAGGGACGGTGCTTTAAGTTCTGCTTAAATGTAACTGATTTAACTTTCAACAGACAGGTACAGCCAGGGGCTTCTATGTTGGGACTCGAGGCCTCGCAGGCACAGGCAGCTCCCTCCTGGGGCACCCGGAGAGACCATGCTCAAGAACGTGCGCCTGCCAGCCCGCTTAGACCTAGAGGCAGCAAAGCACCAAGCGCGGTGGACACGGGACTAGACAGGACGCCAGGGAGGGTGGGCTGCAGGGCGAGGGCAGAGAGGCAGCTCTCCTGGAACGAGGGCTTAAAAGTACCTCCATGCAGGTGACTGCTCCCATCTTGGCTGCTCACCAGAGGGAAGGAAGATGAGAAACAGCACCCCCAGTGTGGTGTGTTGACACCATAATTCTTTTTCCTACATTTCTCTTTCTCAGCGGGATTCTGGGCATGCACACATACATGCTATGTGTTCATTTTTCTGGAGGGCACACACCCCACCTGAGAAGGGTCACCCCACAACCCCTTCTCCTCCACTTCTCCCTCCTCTCATGGTGCTGGGCATGCAAGCACATGGCCTGTTTCTCACTGCCAAGTCCAGGACTTGGACTGTGCAGTCAGCCATGCTGGATCCAGACACTTTAATCACCATGCCACCAGCTTCCCCCCACCCAAGTGTGTGTTTCAAGCTGCCAAGGCTGGAACTGGAATTGTGGTCAGTCACATGGGCTCTGGCTCCCCTAACCACGAGGTTACAAGGCCACCCCATGAAATGAGCTATCTTTTAACGTATCCTAGTAGACTAAGTACGAAGGAGCAAAACTTTGCCCAAAGCTTGACAATTGGCCACCGACTGTGAATTGTACTATTAACTTGTGTTCTCAAAAGATACTAGTATGAGCTGCTAATCGTTCAGCACAAATGTTGGCACAGATTTTCTTAAAATGAGTGCCAGGTCCAGCTCAGTGGAACAGGAAGTAACAGAGGGGAAGCCCCACAGTCAGCCTCAAGTTTGGATCCCACATCTACTTAGAGACATGCCAGGCGCACACATGCACCAAGACGCTGAAGAGCTAGAGGGCTTGGCAACAGAACCCCAGTGTGACAAGGCCCTGTCAGGGGTACCTGCCTGCCTGTCTTTCTCATGAATAAAAATAAATAAACTTTAAGGGTTCGTAGTATCCTATGTTTTATCTTTAATGTGTTCCATGACTTAAGAAACTTACATAACCTTCACCTCCAGATAAAAACCCCACGCAGCAACGACAAGCAGGAGGCCTACACAGGTGATCTTCATGAGGATGTGCAGTGTGCCTGTAGCCTCAGGAGCATTTGCTTTACCTGCTCCCACCCCTGCTCACTCATCAGAGGGTACCGATGGTGAGTGCAACCCAGTCTACTGACGGTCGCTGACCAATACAGGAGCGTCCCCTGCAGACCTACCGTGACTGTAATAATCCACGTATTCCTCTCTGCTGCCTTGTACCCAACAGGCCAGAGACATTACCAGCTAATAACCGAGCTGGTAAGAACAGTAAAGGGAGGCAAGCAGGTGGCATGGAGGTTAAGGCACTAGATCCCACATGGCAAGCTTCACAGTTCAAATCCTATCTTAATTATCACACCATGTATAGGTGCATCCCAAATCCCCCGAGCACTGAGGAGAAAAAGGGACTGTGGCAGGACCATCCCGTATGGGCAATCTCTCACCTTCCCTCTTCCTCTCTGAGGTACATGCCCTACAGCAAAAACTAAAACAAAACAGTAATGTATGCTAGTTTACACAAAACTCACATTAAGGCTTTGTAGGTAGAAGTACTAGTGGGGACACGTGTGAAAACACCAGTAACTACAAATCCAACGTAATCAGAAAAGTCACCGTAAGCAAAGGATGCCGGGAGCCACGGAGCCACAGAGCCAGGCACGTGGAAGTATCTGGAGACTGAAACTGTCTGAGCAGCAGAGATGAAGGAAGTGACTGAGCCTGCAAGATGGCCTGTGTGCAACAAGCTCCCGTCCTCACCTGTCTCTGAGATGGGTAACGTCTTTCACCCTGAAGATGCCGTCCAGGAGAGGAGGTGGAGCAAGGGAAGAAGGGGAGCTACACGCTTATCCTTACACATTCCTCGCCCTGTGCAGCAGTCCCACCTGAGGAAACCGCTGACAGCCACCAAGCCTGCAGCCCAGCTCCAACCCTGACACTCCCGAGAACAGTGAGGAGTGGTGAGCCAGCCACGGCAGGGCCTGACACTACAGACGAGGAACATCAGCATGGTGGCCCAGGTGGCCTATTGTCACAGGCTTGCCACTTCACGGACAGGCACGGAGCTGTAAACACAGCGGGATGTGGGATCCACTACGGCCCAGACACAGCGTGTATTAGTCGTCCTGACCAGGTGCTCAGGAGACATGTGTGCTCTGCCTCAAATCCTGCTACCTCTGCCTTCTGGGAATGGGGCGGATGGTGTCTACCTCACCGCATTCCCACAGCGCCCAGTGCCTGTGTATGTCGGATGGAAGCAGAAGCCATCTCCTTGGCTGAGAATGCCCTTCTTCCCTGACACCCAGACAGATCTCGGCCGTCCTTCCATGTCTCTATCAGGCTGTGCCTCTGAAGTCTCTTCTCCCATCGCTACCCCAACATGTGCCCTCCGCACAGCGGCTGCGTGTGTCTGCAGCTGCCCCGGTGCACCCTCAGACTCCTGGAAGCAGAAACTATCTCCCAGGCCCATCTCCCCACCACGTTGGACACCCCCACTCATCATAGCGCTCAGCCCAGGTTACTGAGTCAATCTTTGCTTCTGCCAAGTTCCACCCGCAACAACCAAGCTAGGAGCTTGAAAACAAAGTGATAAAGTACTTGGGTCTTTGTGCACAAACACTGCCATTTCAAATCAGAAACTCCACTTATCCAACGAGAGTACTTGGGAGGTCAGTTCCAAACATGGACAAAGAAGTCCCCTGGGTAAGCTAGGCCGCCCGAACAGGAAGGAAGAGGAGGACGACAGTAGGTCCAGACTTGGCTGCCGAAGACAGGCCGTGCACAGGAGACCGCGTCAGAGGCAGGCAGTGACCATGCCAAACCCTCAGTCCATCGGGGAAGAGAAATGTTAGCCAACAATGTTCCAGTTCCACGGATAAGGGCGTGCCACATATGGCACAAACGCCTCACGCTCACCTGAGCCTGAGGCCAGCACACGTTAGGCTCATTTAACCCCCTCATTCTGATGTCTGGCTAGACAAGAGACCTTCTGATTCCCAAGCAGCCCTGGCCCTACCCCAACGGGATGGTGCAGCCCTTCACGACATGACACACATGACAGTGACGTGCCCGTTTAGGCTCTCCCCAAGTCAGACCAGAGACAGAACTCACCGGCTGTGCCAGAAGCAGGGGCAACAGCGGCACCCGAGTTCTGCCTACCCTCACCTCACTTGCATTTCAGCCCTCCGTGACTGCAGGTCACTGACAAGGCACATGTCTGAGCCACAAGGGCAGACAGCTGGGGTGACTAGAAACATGCTCCTGTTCTGTGACTGTGTTTAACAGAGAGGTCTGTCTCATTACAGCACGGTTTTTGACCATTTGTTTCTTAGAGAAAAGAGACAACACAAAGCTATTTAGGACTCTGCAAGGAACCAGTCACTCCAGGCCGCCCATTTGACCTCAGGAAACTGGTACTGAGAAGCCACCATGCCAGCACCTACAGGGCTTCCAGCTCCTCCCATCCAGGAATCTGGTGTATAGTAACTGCTCAATTAACCCGGCAATTAGGGAAATAGAGGATAGCCCAGATAAAGCAGGACTTTCTAAACAAGATGGCATCTACCAGAGGTCAGACTGGTAACCAAAAGTAGAAAGGCCTATACACTGAGCGAGGACCCAGGGCGGGCCTCAGATCACTGCACAGCAGACGTAGGAGCCTAGATGTGGGTTGGACATTCTCTCGTGATGCCCCCGCCACTAAGCCCTGAGATCTTGGGGCATATTTCTTAACCAATCAGCCCACTGCCTCTCAGTAAAATAATGAAGAAGAATACAAAAATATTCCAGGATTAAAGACAGTAAGGCACAGGGTCTGTCTCACACCCTCAATAAATAGCAGCAATCATTGCTGTTCTTGTCCTTCCACTACTGCTTGTCAAACTTCATAGGTAAAAGCTGGCTGAAGATACTCTCACATAAGGGAGCCAGCAGTTAGCGTAATGGCTATGTCGCTGGACTCCCACGTAGTCGACCGCGGTTCGTGTCCCAGACCCGGTGGTTTAAAACTCACGCCAGGCGTGTGTGCATGCATGCCCAAGATCCTGAGAGGAGAATGGAGGTCCCCTCTGGGGGGTATCCTGAGAGGAGAATGGAGGTCCCCTCTGGGGGGTGATTTCTCGCTTTCTGTCTCTCTGTCTCTGTCTGGCGAGCGCATGCGCCCTACAGCAAAAACCTCTCAAAAAAAAAAAAAAAGATACTCTCATGTAAGAAAGCACATTTGTTACGGCAACTGGCAAGAAAATAAAACCCTACTTTTGACTCTAAGGGATGTCGGATGACTTCTATTTCCTATTCCTGCCATTCAAGATACACGCAACTGAGAGCTATTAATGGGCTATACAGGGTTACCTTCACGATTTTAATGGGACAATTACAAAAACAAACAAAATATGAGTCACCTGCACATAGCTTACAAGGGCCCACCCATAAAACCCAAACCTCTCACAGGGAGGGAAAGCTCGTATAACATGCAATCTGGCCCGCCCACAGCTGCACCTTCACCCCCACCTATTCCTCCTTTTTCACCCTCTTCCTAAGAACATCCAACTCTTTCTGCTCATTCTGCCTGAACCTCTTCTCCCACAGCTGCGTGTGCCCAGCTTCAAGTCAGCGGCCTGGGCACAAACACCATCTTCCCACAGGCCTCGCCACACCCTGGAGAAGCTAGCCCGCCCAATCACATCCAATACTCTCCGGAGTGGCCCAGTCTGCGATCTGCGTCCGTGTACTGGAAGGTGATTTCAGGGAGGGCAGGCCCTGACCGACTTCACTGTCGCATGACGGCACTCCGTGACACTGGGCAGTGAAGGTTCAGCTCCCCAGGCTCACGCTGGGGCAAGGCTCGGCCCGCTCGGCTTCTCTGAGCACCCGCCAGCGGCGAGAGCGCTAGGAGAGCACTAGGAGCCCCGGCTGCCCTCGACCCCGACCCTCTGCAAAGCTCGTCCTCGGCCGCAAAATACGGGCCTGAAGCACACACCCTGCCAGCCTCTCCCGGGCAAAGCGCGCCCACCAGGACAGACCGGCGTCCAGGGGCCCCGGCCTCAGCACCTGCCAGGCCCGCTCCGCTACAGCTGAGCCGCCAGGCCCGAGCGCCCCCGCCCAGACGGAAACGCCGTGGCAGAAAAGGCGCTCGCGCCCGCCC